GCGATGAGCGTCGTGCCACCTGACCCGAGACGGGTCGCAGGCGTCGTACCGAGCGCGTCGATACCGTGTCCTGATGTGATCTGCACGGGTGAGTCACGTCGGCGTCCAGGGAGCGCCGGGCGTCCTCTCTGTTCCATCTCACCGTTCGCAGCTGCCTCTGCGCGTCCTGGGGATGTACCTTTGTCGCGCGCCGGAGATGACTCGACGCCGCTGAGATCGGAGATCAAGCTCTGACAGGTCGCACGTCGCTCCTTTGACGCCGACGTGACTCACCCGTGCAGATCACATCAGGACACGGTATCGACGCGCTCGGTACGACGCCTGCGACCCGTCTCGGGTCAGGTGGCACGACGCTCATCGCGCCTGCCAGCGCTGCCGTACAGGTTGCCACGACGAGGTCGAGCACGCTTCTATACGCTCGCCGAGCCTTCCTTTCTATCCCAGTAGGCAGCCTGGGAACGGTGGCGGTCAGAGGCAAAGCCTACGAGGGGTGGTGGAACCACATGTCACGGCTACTGCCGGCTCCACCCCACGATAGCCTCCGAAGGCTGACTTTGAGGCACCATCATCGGACGATGTCGACGAGTTGGGTCGCTCTCGCGGTAGCCAGATGACCTCTCATACTAGGAGCATCGGCCATGGCCGCAGGGAGCGCGGGGGAGCGCGCTGGAAGCAACACGGAGCTCCGTTGGAGACGTTTTCAAGATTATAGCGTGTCAGAGTGAAATGGCACTAGCCAAAGGATGTCTCTCCAAGACACGCTTGCAAAACAAGATTTTTATGTGCATCTGTCCTAGCCCTGAGCCTGTGCGCTGTGGGTGGCCTGTTGGCCTAAGTTAATGGCGCGCACGCATACTGCCTCGCCGGGCGCGGTGCGTTGGGCGGCGGGGGAGGGGCAAGCCCGTCCTCCTCAGCGGTGGACGCGCGCTGCGCGCTCGCCGTGCGGTAGACAACGTCCTCGTGCTGCTCGGCCGCGGGAGGCGGCGGCGCCAGCCACGGGTGGTCGAGGCACTGCGTGACGGTGGCGCGCGCATTCGCGTCGATGGTGAGGAGTCCGTCGATGAAGTCGCAAGCGGGTGGTGAGAAGGGGCAGCGGAGGTCGTACATGCCGTAGAGCGCGTCGCACGCGCCGGCGCCGCTGGCGACGCTCTGCTCAAAGCGGACGAACGTCGAGTCCGTGGCATACGCCTCGCCCCAGGGGGCGAAGCCGGACAGTGACGTGAACACGAGGACGCCGTACGCCCAGCAGTCGACGGGGGGCGCGCGGTAGCCGGCCGTTGCGGTCCAGAGCTCCGGTGCCATGTACTGGTACGTGCCCACACCATCGTATTGCGTCGCAGGCGCCTGCGGCGGTGGGCGAGAAGAGCGCTCGTCTGTCGCAGTGGAGCGGTCGACTCAAGACGGGCGGCGCCGGCGCCTCGCAGGCGTAGCCAAAGTCAATCAGCTTGAGAGCGGTCGGGTCCTCGGCACTCAGCATCACGTTCTCGAACTTGAGGTCGCGGTGCGAGACGCCGCGCGAGAGGCAGTGGCGGAGCGCCTCGGCGATACGTCTGACGATTGGCCGCGCCGCCCGCTCCGATAGGCGTTTGTCCGGAGCGGTCTCGACAAAAGCGCGATCGAATAGGTCGCCGCCACCGCAGAACTCAAGGAAGAGGAACGTCTGGCCTCCCGGGGTCTCGATGAAGTCGAGAAGCTCGATGATAAATGGATGCCCTGCCACCAAGTCTAATGCCCGCGCCTCCTTGCGCAGCATCTCCATGTCAGCCGCTCGGCGGCTACGCTTGGCGGCAACGTATAGCGGCGGCGTTGCCGTCCTGTCAACGGCGCGGAACACCTCGCCGAACCCGCCGTGGCCGAGGGGACAGCCGAGGTTCACCTCGAACCGCCCGACTCGCTCAGTTGCAGACATTGAGGGATCGATGTAGAGTGCCTTTCCTGGTTGTCCGCACACGATGGCCGTGTGAAAGAGATTCTTACAACAAAACTCCCTCAGCACTCTGGGAAAGGGACTGGGCGCGCACTGGCACTAACACAGGTACACCACTGGAGCCGCCTAAGCGACTCCGGCGAGGCACTTAGCTCCGTGCACTCGACCGCCCTCGCCGTTGGCAAGCTCATTCACAATCTGCTCTGCGATGGCCGTGTGAAGAACGACTGAGATGCGCTGCTTCTGCAGCCCCAGCCAGTGAAAGAGATATTTTCTTCTCAATAACAAGGCTGTGAACTCGCCCTCCCTGGGTCCCCGTGTTGGTGTCCGACTGTCACTGTGCTGTCGGGCCCGGGGTTGTGCTTTTGAGAGAGATTTTTATTAACCAACAAGAAATCACGACTCTCACAGTGATTTGGGCTCGGCAGCTTGTCAGCCCTCAGCCGAAGCTGGGGCCGGTCCCGTAGCCGAGAGAGCCCGCGCCGATGAGTTCGACGCGGTCGGGGGGGCCTGCGGAGAGGCCAGCGAGGTGGCGATCGCTGTACTTCATGGCGCCCTCAAAGTGGGGCTGGCTGACAAGCCAGAGGTCGATACTCTGGACGACCCATAGGATGCCACGAATGCCTGAAGGAGAGGGAGGCGAGGCCAGAGGCAGGCTCAGCTGCTCTCGGGTGATCCCGCTCACCGGCAGCATCCGCAGGGAGGCAGCATATGAGGCACCAGTTTTCTGGAGAGCTCAACAGCGGCCGCCGCGATGGCAGAGTCGGCCGCGGTTCGAGCGAGCAGCTTTTGGCTGCGGGTTCGAATCGCGGAAGGCTCATGCCCTCGCGGAGCGACGCGGGTCGCGCGGCGCGCGCGTGTGCGAAATGCGACAAAAGACGAAAGACGACAGGCGCCTGAGCGCTGTGCGCCTGAACTTTTGTCCCCAGGCGCAGTTATTGTTATGGTGTTATGGCTCTCTGGGCATAGCAGCCCATAACATGTTATGGGCTGCTATGGGAGGGCCGTCCCGGGTCCACGGTGTTATGGCCCGAGAGGCCACGCCGGACTGCTCGCCGCTGGAATTTTCGCTTCGCGCGCTGCCGCGCGCGCGCGCGCGCGAGGTAGGTTCGGCATCGATCGCCAAATATTTTCTCTTTTGCCCTCAAGTTAAATTCAATAACATCAACCTGCCTCCTGAGGCTGAGCGATGGCTTCAGATTGCTCAATCAAGACCACCCGCCCTCCCCCCCCCCCCCCCACCACGCAATTTGCTTCCCGTTTCTAACTCGTACTCGCTCTGCAGCTCTGCACGCTTCCCTCCATTTTTAACTTGTATGTCTTTCATAATGTCTTTCCCGCAATTTAACTCACGTCCTTTTTCTTTCCTTTTTCCACTCATGTCTCGAGGTTTCTAAAAAGTGGAAGCTGGCTGCTCCCGCTTTTAGTAGTTAAAGCTCCGTGCGCGCCAGTCCCGTGCCAGTGTCGTGCGAGGGGCACTTGGAGTACTTGGAGTGCTATGAGGTGTTATGAGGTGTTATGAGTGTTGTGAGGTGTTATGAGGTGTTATGAGGTGTTATGGTAGGGTGGGCATAACAGCCATAACAGCGATGGAGGTGTTATGAGGTGTTATGAGGTGTTATGGGGTGTTATGAGCAGCCAGCCATAACAGCCATAACACCTGTTATGGCCGCTCCCATAACCTTGAGTGGGGACAAGAACTTTTGTCGCCGCAATCGCCACCGCCGCCATTTTGACGAGCAGCGCGAGCGCGCTCGTCGGCGGCCAGCCGTCGCGGGCCGGGCCGAGCCCGGCCTCAACCGGCCGCGCCGCCGCAGGTCGAGCGTTCGCGCGAACGGTTGCACGCTCGCGAACCGTGCAGCCGGTCCAGGACGGCTAGGAAGAAAGAAGAATGGTACGCGCCGAGCGCGAGCCCTGTTCCAGAGCCGGGTATGTGTGTGAGAGAGATTTTTAGCAATAACATTGTGTTTTGTTATGTGTGTGTCGAGCCCGGCCTCAACCGGCCGCGCCGCCGCAGCAGGCCCGGAGGCCCACATGGCGGCCGACCAGCTGATAAGGAGCTCTTCTTGGCGTTTGTGTGAACTTGGGGTCTAAGCTACTAAATTCTTGAAGTTTCCGCCCTCCGTGGATATATGTTGGATTTCCAAAAGTCCGTCGACTCTCCGGCTGCGTACCGGCGCATCCACGCAAGGATGTCCCCCGCGATGGTCGAGCGCAGTGGCTCCGGCTCGCAGAGGAGCGCGTGCAGCGCGTCGTACCCCAACTGTGTGAATACGTTTTCCACGTATTCCAAATGACCTCCCAGAGGCCTGTATTCTGCCGTATTCCACCCGTATTCCACGTATTCCATGGAATACGCCGTATTCCAAGCTCCAAAAATGGACGTATTCCGTATAAAATTTTCCTCGCTCCGCGAATTCACACAGTAGGGTCGTACCGCTTCAGGTGCGGTCAGCCGCGGGCGTCGCCGCCACCTCGCAGAGCCTCTCGGCCCCCCGCGTCCACCCATAACGCGCTGGTGTCCAGTCCGAGCCTGACTGTTCTTCACCTTTCTACCTAACCTAAACCTGACACTCAAAAGCAACACGGGGTGAGAAAGGACAAACACTCCCTGTCCGACTCCCCTTTCTACCATTAGAGCTCTAAGCTAAACGGACGAGACGCTGTGTATCCATGTTTCCGTCCCATCTGGTTCCCTTTTCTCTCTATCTCGGCCCTCGGGACTCGGCACTCTCGGGCTCGTAATCGACGCTCGTAAAATTACGTAAGAGCTTCAGCTGAAATTCTTCTTTGTGCGAGGGAGTTTTGTTGTAAAATTCTTCTTCTTTTTTGACCGAACTACATGAGCCTTGCGCCGGACGCGTGTAGCCAGTCGGCGGGCAGTGCGGCGTGTGCGGAGACGCCCCGCTCGCCGAGCGTCTGCACGTCGGTGTCGCACGCGCCGTCCTCCGAGCGGGGCGAGGTGAGGAGCACCGCGTCGGGCGAGAGCGCGAAGCGCGAGCTGCGCGGCCACCGCCGCTGCCCGAGCGCGACGTCGACCTGCATCCGGAGCGGGAAAAGCGCCGGGTCGGCAAGCAGCTCCTCCGCCGCCGCCTTTGTGAGCAGGTAGCCGAAGAGGCCGGTGAGCGAGCCGCCGCCTGACGCCTACGGTGATGTCACGAGGTGGAAGGGTCGGGTTGCCGCAATTGAAGGGGGTGTGCAGCAGCTGCAGCGAGGAGAAGGTCGCCTGTCGAGCAACGGGGAGATGTCGGGAAGATGTGGGGAGGGGTGGGGAGGTGCGGGGAGATGTGGGGAGATGCGGGGAGGTGTGGGGAGATGCGGGGAGATGCGGGGAGATGCGGGGAGATGCGGGGAGGGGAAACATACACCCGAGGCCAGGGAGGAGGAGTGCGGTCTCGCGCCGCGTACTCGTGGCACGAGGTCGTCTCCCCTTCTAGGGTCACCGAGGTACGTACTCCGATACTAGGGTCACCAGCCTCGCCCCTGCGGCACGAGATCTGGGGAGATACGGGCAGATAGGGGGGGGGGGGGCTTTTCGCTTCTACTGCCCGGACGCCTCCATCAGCCGCGGCTCGACGTCCCTCGGCAGCAGCTCGCCCGACGACTCGTGGTAGCCGAGGTAGCAGAGCTGCCAGCTCAGCGGCAGCTTGCGCAGCACGGCGCCGAGCTTGCGGTGGAAGGACGGCGCGAGCGCCTCGACGTCGTCCTCGAGGAGAAGCGCCCACTCGCTGCTTGAGCGCGCCAGTCTGCGAGGGCGGCGGTGGAGGAGGAAGCGGAGGAGATGGTGCAGGCGGCATGGGCTGAAGGAGCGTTGCCAGCGAGGGCAGTGGCGGTGGCGATGGTGGCGATGGCGGTGGTGGCGGTGGTGGCGGCGGCGATGGCGGTGGAGGCGAGGGGGGTAAGGGCGGTGAGGGACATACCTCTCCCACGCTGCGCGGTGCGAGAGCGCGCAGCCGACCGCGGCCAGCGTGAGGTGGGGGGAGAAGGAGCCGGTCTCCCGGCAGACCTGTTCACAGCTGCGGCCGTGAAGAGGAAGTGTCTCGGAAGTGTCTCGGTAGTGTCTCCCGGCAGACCGTCGGCAGGCCCTGCCGCTCCGCCCACACGGCCGCCTCGGCCGCCTTCGCCGACAGCCGCCCGCTCGCCACCAGCGCCTGAGGAGCTCCGCCCCTCAGCCTGTGAGCGAGTGGCTGACGAGCGCCGCGCCGCACCGCACACCGCCGCCCATCTCGGCTACTCTCGGCTATCTCTCGCCGCCCAGCTCAGCGTGCGGCCGTCCGTCGCCGCCAGCCGCTCGAGCGGCGCGCCGCCGCCCCACGGGAGGCCTCGCACCTGCGGAGCACCCACAGGCGTGAAGAGACGCCGTTCACACCGCCGCCCTCCCCACGGGACGACTCGCACCCGAAGTGCTGAGTACACCGACCGGGGCGGGAGGACGGTCTTGTGCAGAGTGTTCAGAGCACTGTGTGTGTGAGTACGAGGGGGTGTGAATACAGTGCAATACAGCCGACTGCGGTCGACCGCAGCCGAGCACGTGTCCTCTCGAGTGCTGCTTACGACACAAGAACACGGACTCCGCCTCTAGGCCTCGCGCCCGCTCGAGCCGATCGCTCCTCCGATCAAGGTTAATGACGAGGCGTAGGTCGCCGCCGCCCGCGGCCGGCTCCGCCGCCGCGGCGGTGGGCACGCGCGCGGCGCTCACGCCGTTGCCGCCGGTCGCCGCGCCGCCGCCGAGCGGACCACACAGCTGCTTCATCGGCGACGGCCCCGCGAGCGCTGCTGGCGCTGGTGGCGCTGCCGGCCGCCGCCGGACGGCGCCGCCGCCTCGCAGCGCCTCGAGCCGCTGGTGGTAGTCGCGCCGCTGCTCGAGGAGCTGGGCGGCCTCCTCGTCCTCCTCCTGCCGGCTCCGCGCCTCCACCTCGCCCAGCTCCCGCTGCGCCGCCGCAATCATCCCGCGGATCGCCGAGACCTCGCGGGAGACGGTGCGCAGCCGCTGCTCCTCTGCCGCCAGCTGCCGCTGCGCCTCGGCCGCGGCGCTCCGCTCCGCCGCCAGCGCCGCCGCGTACCGGCCGCGCTCCGCCGCCGCGTGCATCTCGCTGCGCTCCTTCTCGTGCTGCAGCTGCTTTTCACGCTTGGCGAGCTCGTGCCGCCACTGGCGGTTGTCGGTCCTCGCCGCCTCAAGCTTGCGCGCGGCCTCCTTCCGCAGCTCATCCTTGCGGCCGGCGGAGGCCCTGTCCGATTGGCTCATTGTGAGAATGGGCGTCGGTGTATAGCCGGTGCGCACCTCGCGGCCCCGCCCTGGGCGATAAGAATTTCATGGAAAGAACAAAAACCCGTGAGCTGACGAGTTCTTCACCAGGTTGCAACCCTAGTCTCGCACTGTGCTGTGAACAGAGCACCAACCAACAGCTCAGGAGCCCCCGGTGCTGGGCGCAGGCTGGGGTGCTGCCAGCAACCAACCAACTCTCCGGCGAGCGGAGCGAGCCGAAGAGCTGGGGCCAAATTCGCGCTGTGAACGTCGTAGCTCACTGTACACTGAGGAGGGAGGGAGAGAGAGATTTTTGAAAACGAGGGAGTGCGGAAGTTCCGCGCGGCTGAAGTACCACGCCTGCCCGCCGGGACCGCGTGCAGAAAGCCCCATCGCGAACGCCGCAGCAGCATCGAGCGGCACCATACTCGAGTAGGTCGTCCGGCTTTGCCGACGGCTTTGCCGACGGGCGACGTGGACGGGACACAGGGACGGGCGAACCAACAGCTAGCGGAGCGCCTTCGTTCCCTCTGGCGACGCCTTCGCGCCAAACACACCGTGACGTGGAGGCATGTGGCGGGTCACAGCGGCAACAAATGGAACGACTACGTCGACGAGCTAGCAGCTCGCGGCAGGCAGGGTGACAGAGGCTCAAACGCTGCCGAGTGGGCGGACGGCACCATCCCGACGGACACTCCCGACGAGGAGGACAGATGATGACGACACGCACGAGCGACACACAGACACAAAACAAGCTCACAAGACACACAGCCAGCGTGGCTGCCACACACCCTGAGTTGGCGTACACATAGCTCAGGGCCACATCCTCCATGTCGCCCCCCCAGCACTCCAAGGTGCCAAAGGAACAAACAAGGAAAAAACATGTGTCAGCAGCAGCAAAAAACGAAACGGCGAAACGGGGCCATGTCCGACTCCGAGGCTTCCATGCCGGGCCTGGACCCGTTCCACGTGCGTCAGATCCGGATGGTCGAGCGCGTCCTCGGCCAGAAGGTGTCGCCACACGCGACCACGCGATGATTGATTGTCTCGCGGAGCGCATGGAGAGGTACGGTTGGCACTCCGTCAGCATCAACCCGGTGCCGCTTGGGTATCAGTACATCATCCAGGCCAAGTCTGAGAAGAGGCGGGAGGATGAGGCCAGGCAGCAGGCCGCGCAGGACGCTGCGCAGCCTCAGCCTACCGCCACTTTCGCCGCACCGCCCGTGGCACCGCCTGCCGCCGCTGCCGCTCCGGCCGCAGCATCGCAGGCACACTCGCAGCACCAACAGGCGCAGCAACCCCGGCCCAACGAGTCGCCCGAGGGGTGGACGAGGGTCGGGAAGGGCGGCAAGCCGGACAGGTTCACCATGAAGAACTTCGGCCGCAATACCTGCACCCATCCCAGTGCGTGCCGTTGAGGTGCTCGTAGCGCGTGAGTAAGAGAGGAGGGTTGCCAGTTGCGCCGCCCGCAAAGAAGCCAGCGCAGCCGCCAGCAGGACAGGTTCACCATGAAGAACTTCGGCCGCAATACCTGCACCCATCCCAGTGCGTGCCGTTGAGGTGCTCGTAGCGCGTGAGTAAGAGAGGAGGGTTGCCAGTTGCGCCGCCCGCAAAGAAGCCAGCGCAGCCGCCAGCAGCGCAGCTCGCAGCGTGGCCCCCAGCGCAGCTCGCGGCAGCGCAGCCCGCAGCACAGCACGCAGCAGCAGCAGGAATGGTGGGCAGGGTTGTCCCGGATGCTCTCAGAGAGGCTGATACCGGTACAACAGGGTGGTACTGTTGTGGTACAAACAACACTACCACTCTGTTCTCAGAGAGGCTGATACCGGTACAACATCGTGGTATCGTGGAGGCGCCAGCAATTGCCCTTTGTAGCGCTGCG